TATATTTTTTAATCTTTTTATATTATATTTAGTTTTTAATTTACTTCGCTTTGTCTATAAAATTTTTGTAATTTTTCAATGACAATAAAGCATACCTCTATATATATATATATATATATATATATATATATATATATATCTCCCGGTTTATCTGCAGTTCCTCGAAACTAGCCAGCCTTACCCAAGAAACCCTAATTGGGTTCGGCCAACATTAAAAGACATTATAAAGCTTAAATTACTATTTGATTGGTACTTAAATCATAAAAGTTTACACGCACCTATCATTTCGGAAATCCCTAAGTAAGATAATTAGTTTGGATATAACCTACAGGATTATGTTTTCTTGACCGCCAAACATAATAATAATAATGTTTATTTCAAATTTATGTAACAATGTACAAATTGATACAATAATAATAATTAAATAAATAAACATTTGTATCCTGCTGAGACATTGTTCATGTCTGTGTACAGGAATTAAAAATACAAATTTATATAATAATTTCTAAATGGTAATAGTGAATGGTAAAAATAAAAATTATACCTAAATATATAGACTTCTTTTTGTGTACAAATTTTCTTCTAATCTTCAACCTCAGATTCGTCACTGCTGCTACCGCTATCATCAAAGTTAATTATGATTGGTTCAATATTGTGTTCAATACGGTTGTCTACGTCCCACATTTTTTGCTCTTCTTTTAAAACATGCTGAATGCATTTCTTCCAGTCTTCTGCAGAAACATTTTGAATGTCTTCTTGTAGGTAACGTTGCACGTCCACTAATTTAAATGTTCTGTTTTCTCGTGCCACATATCCTTTTACTTAGCTCATTTCTGAAAAAGAAACTGTGAATAGTTGTGCGTATACTGTTTTTGGCTTCTTCATCAACTGTGATTTTTTTTCTTCCGCTACTAGTTTTTGGCGTTTGTACTTCCCCATGAATTTTGTTTTCTCTTAGTATTTTGTAAACTGATGATTTTGGTACACCCGTATAATCAGAGCACATATCAACTAATTTATCTTTTGTAATTGTGGAAGTTAATGATGTTGGAACGCCCGGTTGGTTATTCGGAGGTACATCCGTAGAATTAAAGCACATATGTACTAAGTTATCTTTTGGTCGCTGATGATCTCTTTCAAGACAGTGAAATACTCGAAGTACAATTTGTTTTTCACTTAGCGACCGAGACTTCGACCGTTTTACCTTTTTCGACGTTGAAGGCCCTTCAGTGTCTTCCATTTTTTGCATAGTTCTAGAACGGTGTAGAAATATTATTATTTAATGTTTAAACACTTATTAGCACTAATATTTTCACCAATTGTTCTTACAACACGTCGATTACTTACTAACTTAACTGTAAAACTTACAATTCACACCGTATAATTCAAAACCCGATGTTACGCTCGTGGTTAGAAATACACTACTGAGAACGTCATCGACGAGATGGATTTTACGCGTAACAGACAAAGACACAAATATCGCTCCGTACACCGATGCCATTAGTTGTAACAAATACTGAACAATCCATAAAATAATTAATTTTAAATGATCAAGAAATGTATAAGTATTACTCATTACTGATTTTTGTTATAATTATTATCTTTTATTAGTACGATGATTGTATATTATCTATAATTTGCCACAACTTACAACTCTACTACTAACTCTATTTTGATTCTGCTAAAAACTAGTAAGGTAAAATTGAGATATGACAACACGGTTCACTCTCAATCATTATTTGTTTGAGTTTAATGTTAAATTGTTTTTTATCACAAAGGAGTGGTTCGCATTCCTCAAGGGCTTCTATGAAGTCACTACAAGTATTAAACGTGAGAAATGGGGGAATGTAAACGACTGCTATGTAGACAGTCCATAATGGTATACAGCACTTACTAACAAGTAAATTTCAGAAAATCTGTCGCAAAAAGTAGAAATATCGACCACTTCAGATGCCGACATCAAACAAAACTTTTTTGAACAAATAGATTCATATTTTAATGCTAGAAATGTCACTCTAATGAGACGCTTATGATCGCAATAGAAAAATTGTTCCTGTTGCTTTAAATTGGCCATGAAATAACTAATATTCGTACTACGTTTGATCATTTAAAATGGCTGAATCCTGAAGAATAAAAAAAAATCATTTTGCTTTGTTAACCTCTAGCGGCCAAACAAAGCAAGTTAATATATAGGTAAGAGTCCATAAATGTGTGGTACCACTGACATACAATTTCCGGACACCTTAGATGTAAGAGTCGTGCCAACTTAAGCTTTACCTTGTACTACCAAAATCTAAATATAGTTTTGGAATGTCATTCATATTGTACTACTCTAATGAGATTACTTGTTTATCATTTTTATTTTAATCAAAATACAAAATAAAAAATATGCTTTAATATATTTTATTAGTTATTATAAAGTTTTACCAAGAAACATCGAGATAGAATAAAGTAAAGACGACATAAACACTATTTTGCGATATGACAGATGGACGCACTTCGAGTGACGGAAAAGTGTAATGAAAATGGCGACTTGAGCCCCACTTTGATTTATTTGAAGTCAATAATTTTAAATTTGAAGACTGTCGGAATGAAAATGATTTTATATCATTTAAATGAAGCTATTTAAAAAAGGCATTTATTCTCACCAAAACTGACTAGCTGTAGTTTGATATATGACGTAAAAGTATAATGCAAAGGTGCAGACACTTTGGCATCGCCATAGCATCTCCTCCTTATTCTATCTCAATGCCAAGAATATATATAGGTCATTCACTGAATTTACACCCATATCGGATTAAGAAATAAATGAAAGATTTGACTGGTCAGTTGTATTTTAAACATTTACTCATGGGTGGCGTTATTTTGTATATTGCAAGGGGATCTTATAGAAACAAAATAAATATAAATTTTAGGTATTTAATTTTGCCTCAGAAAGCTTAAGAGATAGTTACATGATTTTGTTGTTTAATAATAGTTTATTCAGAACAAAAATTTTAATTTACATACACAGTTTTACTTTGCGATTAAGTAAGTACGATGATTAAAAATAACATAACTTTTAAAATTCTATATTAAACAGTGATTATTATAAATAATTGTCTTTTGACATACCTATAAATCTTCAGCATCACTCTCAAAATTTGTGTCACTAGCGTTGCTGTCATCATTAAGGGATATAATTATAGGGTTAATTTCGTTTATCCTGTTTTCACGTGCCTACCAGTCGTCAATTATCAATTAATTTATTACATTTTTGAACACTTTTTTGCCAAATTTCTGGGGTTGATGTATCCAGTGCTTGTTTCCATATTTCCCTTACTGCTTCGTCGCTGTAACCATTAATTCCAATATGATTGTCATAATACGTTCTACATATACCCCAAATGTGTTCGATGGGGTTAAACTGACAATGGTACGGTGGAAGCCGTAACACATCATGTTCATAACTATGTATGACTTGATCTACCATATAAATTTGTGGTGGTTCATGCCGTTTGGCTAAAGTTAACAACTCAGATTTAAGGGCGTATTGTGGAAAAGCAACATTTTCGTTACGTAGCCATTCTTGTATTTTGGATACAGTCCAATTCTGTCTTGGCGGTTTGTTTAAAAGTTCTCTGTGTGATAGCTCGCATTATCTAACATAACAGACGGTTCACTTAAATTTTGTAATAGTTTTTCATTTAACCATTTGATAAACATATCCGAGTTCATGTTATCGTGGTAGTCTTCTGATTTTGATGAAAATATTAATCCTGCACCATCCACAAATCCATTCTTTCCACCTGCGTGCAAGATTATGTGTCGCTTTCCCTCACCATTAGTATGTTTTATTGATTTTATATTTTCATCTTGCCATTTCTTTTCGTTCCACCTTTGGTAAATATCAAGGTTTCATCCAAATATATAAACGAAGCTCCATTCTCTTTTAAACGAGTGTATTCTCTTAAAAAATGTATTCTTTTTTGAACAACATTATTTCTTTCACATAAAGCTTTTCTATTATCTTCTTTCTTAAATTTGAAACCTATTTCCTTAAGCAACTTCCAAAGACTTGTTCTGCCAAATTCACCAATTTGTATCTCTTAAGTTAGCTAGCAATGTTTGACATGTTCCTTTTTCGCACGCATTTCATACACCATATCACGAATACGAAATTTTGTCCTACCAGATATATCCGACGTTTTCAGTTTTTTGCGAGGTGTGTAATTTTTCTTTTTTTTTTTGCTCTCTTCGCTTTTGACGTTTTTCAAATTATATTTTAATTTTGAATCACTAATACCGAAAGCTGTACAGACGCGTTCATGCACACTCACTACTGGCTTTAAAGGTCCTCCGTTATCTTTTTCCGCAGTAAAATACTTATGTAGATTACAAATTAAGTCATCTACACGTAACACGCGCTTCGGCATTTTCAGTTTCGACATACGTTCTCTTCGAAATCCAAAACTGAACTAAATAATTTAGCGCAATTAGTCCTATAACATCATTACAAAAATAGAACATTTAATCTTAATTTTATACCTGAGAAGGGGACTTCCGGAAATTCCTGACCATAAAGCGTTTATTGTATTCGGGGAAAATGGTATTACCATAAACAATGTCCAAAACAAAATTATAAATATTTTCATTTATTACTTTAGTAATTTAATTTTAATAAACATAATTACATACTATATAAGTATTTAATAATTAAAATATATTCACCCTCTACCCACCGGAGGACTACGCTTATTTTACTCAACTACCTAATGCGAAATTATCCTGTAGACCGGCTCAGTCGTGCATCTGTTTCTTAATCCGATATGGGTGTAAATTCAGTGAATGACCTATATTTAATTTTTTCTTTATAATCTGTAATATTTACATCTTATTCCTTTTTTTATTAAATAGTTGCTGATTTTCAAAATTTGTATACACTATTCATTACATCAGGAACAAATGGAATCAGTAAAACTATAAGAAATATTCGCATTTGATGATAAATTTTGTTCTAGCTTCAACATGTCTAATTTGACCACATATTTAAATGCATCCAGATGTGCTTCTGCTTGGATACAATTAGGGGGATTAAACATTGAAGAATGTACATCTGTAAATAACCTTTTAATAGATTTGACATGTTTTGTTTATTGGTAGGTAGTTAATGATTAATTGCTCTTGCTAAAATTATCTACTTAATTTTGCTTAGGAATAAAACTGATCCAGATGGATTATCTTGTGACGAAATGGATTTAATCGAGATAACTGTAGAAGCTCTTACAGCGGTATTTCAACATCCTCACACTCATAAATATAAGAACCACGTTTTTAAATATGCTGCACAAATCCTTGGAAAATTTGATAAAATCTTAGACGTTGAAAGGAATCAACAAGATATGAATAAAGTAACATATCAAACATTTGCTTTATTGAGCCAATTTAATTATAATATTTTAGGATGTGGTAGCCACTTTATATGGTTTAGTAATAACAATAGGTGATTCGCACTCGAAAGTTTTTATTGACAATCTAAAATCGCAAGATCCAGACGAACAAAGAATCAGTTTTGATCTACTAAACTTTATTTTAAAATGTTCAAATTTGCCGGGTTTTTATCCAATTGACGAGTCCAGCAGTACTCTTACCTTTGGGTTCTGGTATACATTACAAGTAAGTGACAATTTATTAATGCTTTTAATAAACATCAAAAGATCTAAACAGGGATAATTCGTTTTAGGATGATGTAATATCTTTGGACACTTCTGAATGCGCTTCACTAATACTCATGATAAAACCTTACTACAGAGATCTGGTTTGCATCATGCTAAGGAAATCCATGTTTCCAGTTATTGAAGATAGCACTTGGACGCTGGAAGACAAAGAAGTATTTCGTTGTTATAGACAAGACATAGCAGACACTTTCATGTATTGTTATGTCGTTCTCAATTTAGAAATGTTAGATATTCTAATGAGCAAACTCAGCGAGGCTTTGAGGCAAGTAACTAGCAAGAATCAAAAATATGTAATATTGCCACTGAAGATTATTTGTTAATTTATACGGTCTTAATTATCTCATTTATTTTGAAGGACGGAAAATAACAACACGGTCAGTCAAGCGATCCAATGGAACGAGGTAGAAACGGTACTTCACGCTTTTGGGGCTGTTGCGGAAAGTATCGAATACGAAAATTTGTACTTACCCAAATTGATGGCGACTATCAAAAATATCCCTTTCAGTGAATTACACATTCGAGTGATGGCAACAGCGCTGGAAACTGTGGGTAGGCTTTTTTGAATGAATCTCTAAATGTTATATTGACACTCTATAATTTACATTGCTTGTGATATATTTCTAAAAGTGATAAACTGATTTATTTTAAGGTGCCTTTTCCGAATGGTTCATGGATCATCCGGACTTATTGGAAAATATTTTTCCTTTGGTACTGTCAGGTTTGGGTAATCCAGAAGTATCTACCAGTGCTACTATGGCTTTAAAAGATATAACTAACAATTGTCAGAAATATTTAGCGCCTTTTGCAGAGCACATCCTCATGGCTTCACAAGTAAGTATTGTAAAATTGTAGAGAATGAATATTAACTTATAATAATATTTATTTTTCTTCGTTTCTAGAGTGTATTATCAAATGGAAGTTTAAAATTAGCGGAATGTCGAAGACTGATGTATAGCATAGGACGTGTATTAAGTACGTTACCGGTTGATAGAATAATGGGATATTTAAATATGATTTTGGCACCTTCTTTTGAAGATTTACAGAAGTTTAGCGAAGCCGAACCTGTAAGTTCAACAGAAAAATACGTTTTCTTTCTAAATATTTAATTAAAACTTCCAGATAAAAAAACTACTAATCAAGCATTGGGAATTATCCACTTTTTTTTATTTCAGAAACTGATAGGTTTCATTCATATTTTTATTTCATGTCAGATTTCATGAAAAAAATATTTTGGTCATGGTTTTTAAACTTTAAAACAGTACGTTTCTGATTTGATATGTGGCAACATTGCCTTTTAAGTGACAATCATGTGTTTAAAATGACATCATTTCTAATTGGCTTACCTGACTGATTTTAGTGGTTGTGACTCATTATTGGATGATCTTAGCTGAGGGAAAAGGATGGAAACGATTTTTCGAGTAGGTATGTTTACCTCTATTAAAAATCTGATGTGTCCAACACATGACTTCCTATCTAGTTATTAAAAGCTTTTTCTGGTTATTCTACAAAATAAAATTGACGAGAAAGAAAATTATAATATACAGCTGAAGAGAGGCACACAAGAGTTTATTAACAGCATTTTTGAAGTGGAGGAGGATAGTTTTAATATTAATACTAAACAAAAAGAGCAACGACAATATATTGAGGAATTAGAAAAAGAATTGCAATCTCTTCAGACACTAAACAAAGACTTAGACTAGAGTTAAATTAGGTAATGATTTGAATACTCAGACGCTAAGGTAAATAACCTAACCGAAATACATAAGAACATAAAAAACTCAATTTCTGTTATTGAACAAGAAAATTAATCGCTGTTTCAAGAACTAAAAGCGCTGAAAAGTCTGGTGGACAATATTCAAAAAGATAACAACTCAACTGGGGCTACACCACAATCTTTACTTCGAGATAAACCTTCCTCATGAGCTCTAAAACCCCAACTTTTAATCTTGGGTGATGAAAATGCAAGAGGTCTCATTACCAACAGCCACTACGATATTAACTGTCAATGGTCAGCAAAATCTTCATTTGACGACCTTATAAAAATGTGCCTTAGGTACATTTTAAATTTTAATAACCAAGACATCGTTATCCTATTCACCGGCGATGACAATACTCTGAAAGGTAAACCCATAACTATAGAGTCACTTGAATCCTTACTTCAGGAAAGTTTCAGAACCAATTTGTTTATTTGCGGACCTCCACAAAGATTTAATCGCAATATTCTTAACAGATTCATCCAACAGTTTGCTTCGTAATTTTGAATTCATTTTATACCTTCGAAAGTTTTTTCATATGATGGTCTAATGTCCAGTTACCAGAAGCGAGAATTCATAAAACTAATTACTTTGACTTTAAAGAATCTTCAAAAAAAATACTCTTCCTGTTAGTTGTAATCCAATAGAAACTTACTTACCGATTATACAACAACAAAATTTTCTCAATCCATCAAACATATCTTAAACCAAGACTATCCATCATACCAAAACCCGATTGTATTAAAGAATTCACAACCTCAATTCAGTGGTGACCAAACTACTATATACTATCAAAATGTTAATGGACTACGAACGAAATCAGCTGATATTTTAAATAGTATATATTCTTGTAACTATGACATTATCCTTTTGAGTGAAACTTGGCTTAATGAAAACTTTCATAGTTCTGAATTTTTCGGCGATAGATATATTGTATTCAGGAAGGACAGAAATTATGTCCTCCTCAATTGCAGCCGAGGAGGTAGAACTTTAATAGCAACTTTACCTCATGTTACAACTGACAAGATTGATACTCCAACATCTACGCAATATGATGATATTAGGGTTAAGGCTAAAATAAACAATATCGACACGGTAGTTGGATGTGTGTATATTCCTCCAAACTCGTCATTAGAAAGCTATTTATCTTTTTGCGATTTATGCGAATCTTTAAAAAGCAAAGTTAAAAATCATAAATTCATAATATGTGGTGACTTCAATCTTCCACATGTCCAATGGGAAATTGAAGATAATTTTGTTGTTTCAACTAGAATTCAACCTGCTACCGCCGAGGCTTTGATTGATATAATATGTTTCCATGAACTCAATCAAATAAACTATGTTTTCAATTCGCTCCAACGGATACTGGATCTTATATTTGTGGACGAATTTGAATTAATTGAATGCAAATCGAGCGATTTTTCACTAGTAAAAATTGATCCTCTACATCCCCCACCTTTGGTTAACTTCACAAATAAAAAAAAATACGTGTGGCACCCGAGGACTGCCGCGGTAAAGCTATTGCATAGCATTTTTTATCAACTTATGCAATTATAATTATTTATTTTATTTATGCAGTATTTTTTTTTATATTAATTCAAGTTTTTTCTTTGATATTAATTCAAGTTACACTTTTTGAGGGTTGTGACCGATAATATAACAAATTTTTTTCTTTTATTGAATAAATGAGAAGTTAATATTGTTTAAAATATTTTTATTTTCTTACAATACATGTAGGTTATTCAGGAATTTTTATCATTGAAACTATAGGTTTATGGTAACTGAAATAAGAAACATAAGTCAATGGTGGTCCCATATTTTGTTGTGGATTCTTATGGATCATTATTCATTTTCAAATTCAATTTTTCCGAAATTGTGTCTAAAAGAGATAGAATCAGTTATGAGCAGTTAGCAGCTAGTCTACACGCATACGTCTAGTCGCACGCACACAAACACCGTGCCGAAGTCTGCCGAACTGAAACGACGTTAGACGATGCACGGCTTTCAACGCCGCAGCGCTGTGCCGGTCGGAGTGAGGGGTGTTAGGTTTATTTTCGTTACGAAATTTCTTATTCGATTTTTTGGTTTTTTAATTTTTCGATTTTTCAATTTTCCGACTTTTCGGTTTTATGATTTTCCGATTTTCTTTTATTGGATAAATGAGAAGTTAATATTGTTTAACGCCGCACCGCTGTGCCGGTCGGAGTGGGGGTGTAAGTTTTTTTTTTCGTTACGGTTTCGTTTATTTTTTTCTAGATTCGGTCGCCGCGCTCTAAGCCTGCGATAAAAGCTATGCAATAGCTTAAAACCTCGTTTACTTAGAGATAATAAACCAGTTAATGTACATCAGTTCCATAAAGCCAACTTCTCCGGTCTAAACAATTTCTTCATAAATACTGACTGGTCATTCATAACTCATTACCATGACATCAACGAAATTGTAAAACAATTTTCCAACATCATAGAAATAAGTATCGACCAATATGTCCCAAAAAAGAAGATAAGAGGTAACACATATCCTGTGTGGTTGGACTTTGTATTACGCATATTGATTGTTGAAAAGAATAAGCTCCATCAAATATATCAGAGGACTAACCTTCAAAGTGATTACATTAAATACTCAATTAAAAGGCGCGAAGTAAAATGTCGAACTGACTGATGTTACTTAAGGCGATTTTAAATCAGATACTATGTCTTGAATATGATTGACTACACTGATATAAATCAAAAACAATGACGTCATATTGAATATTGTCTTGAAATAGTCAAGTTTAACATGACTACAGTAAAAACGTGGTCATCACAGGTATGAAATGTCAAATAAAATGACAAATGTAATGTAAAACTTTTACTTTGTAATTATTAAATCATTGTTTGGTTGTGTTATTTATAAAACAGAAAGAAAGTTTTACGAAAGGGAAAAGTGGGACAATGGTGACGATAGGGTATCAGGTTTAAAAAACAGGTATTTTTTTAAAATAAGCTCCTTTTTTGTAGAGATCTAAAAAAAGGTCCTCCGCTTATATTTATTTAAACCATTAGATTCCTTTTTCTGAGCTTCTCAAAACCAGGTCAAACATTGTCAAAAATATCATTATATATAACTTTGAATTTAAAAAACGTAGCAATAAGGTAAAATGCGGAGCATTTTTGTACTTTGGCGTAACGCGTGCCAGCAAGTTAAAAAGCAGGACAATTACGCCTAAAGCGCGACGTCTGGCAACCCTGGCTGAGTACCTAGATATGGACGCATTTAAGGTTTCTGCAAATGAAAAGCCAATTTATTTTCAAGGTAGGATTTATTAATGAACATGGCTAAAGTTTTGATAAAAAATCAGAGGCCAAAGTAACTATAATACCAATTTTCTTTTCATCCATGATCAGTAAACAAAACAGATATTTATTTTTTATCCCTACAAATTCAAAAACAATGATATCTGTCAATGTTATACCCATTGTGAAGTTAGTGTCAATATAAACCAAACATTTTTAAATCAGATTATTAGAACGTCATTATAATGACGTAAGAACCTTGACCACACTTGACTTGGTCACATTTCTAGTAACTGATTTAAAATCGCCTCTGATGTTTATTTCGAACTCCGAGCACATAATTCCGCAAAACATAAAACATTTTTGGACATTTAATAAAAGTTTGCAGCGAGAGTATGGATTGCCTAATTTAATGAAGTACGGAAACTATGAAGTCAGTGATCCTGAAGAAATTGCAAACGCATTCGCATCTTATTTCCAAACGTGCTATTCTAAAGACGACTTAAACCGAAACATTGATCTTCCCGCTGTGCTATTTTATTCACCTTTAGCCATACACACTTTCACTCCTTATAAAGTATCTTCTAAAATAAAGTCTTGACTCTAGTAAAATTGCGGGCCCTGATGGGGTACCACCGTCGTTCTTGAAAGGGTGCTGTGACTCCTTGTCAATCTCACAAATTTTCCAAAAATCATTTGATAGTGCAATATTTCCATCTGCTTGGAAGTTTTCCCACCTTATGCCAGTTTACAAGAAAGGTGACAAAAGCGATATAAAGAATTATAAAGGTATTTCCATTATATCGATAATTCCAAAACTATTTGAATCCATACTAACAGATGAAATGTTTTACACGTATAAAAACTATATCTCACCTCAACAACATGGCTTCTATCAAGGTCGCTCGACATCAACTAATCTGGCAATCTATCAAGAATTCTTAATTTCAACAATTAAAAATGGTTACCAGGTTGGCACCATCTACACCGATCTGTCAAAAGCTTTTGACAGTGTCTGTCATGAATTGCTACTCAAGAAAGTCTCCGAAATACTCAAGAAACTTTCCGAAATCGGTATCTGGTTCTTATTTTTACGGGATTAAATCTTATTTGAGTAATCGGTGTCAATATATCAGTGTATAATTCCATATCATGTGACGTTTCAGTTCTATCCGGTGTTCCTTAAGGTTCACATATAGGTGCCCTATTGTTTTCCTTATTCTTTAATGATGTTACGTCCTGCTTTCTTAATAGCCAATCCCTTCTTTTCGCGGATGATTTAAAGTTTTTTAGTAGAAACACTGGTAATAACTCCGCATTAGAGTCTGACCTAAACAAGTTTGCTACCTGGTGTAAAAATAACGCTCCTTCTATAAATATTTCTAAGTGCACAACCATGCATTTTACAAGATCCCACAATCCTACTCTTAACTGTTACAGTAATGACAGCGTCAACCTAGATAGATCCTCGACAGTTATTGATCTGTGCATTATTTTTGATACCACAATATCTTTTAACAACCGTATAGATTCCATAGTATGCAAAGCCCTCAGAATGCTTGACTTCATCAAGAGACATACTAGGTGCGTGAATGACACAAAAGCAATCATGACACTTTACAATGGCCTGGTGAGAAGTGTCCTGGAATACTGTTCTGTTATTTGGCAACCTACTTACACCTGTCATATCAATAGAATTGAAAGGGTGCAACGTAAATTCGTAAAATACCTGCTCTTTAAACACCGATTTCATAGCCATAACACATGTTACCAAATAAGAATGTTTTGCGGCATGCAGAGCCTGGAATGCAGAAGTAAACAGGCTTTACTCCTATTCCTGGCTAAATTAATATGTGGTTCTACTTATCAAGTGCGGGTCACTGTTTGAGAGAGTTCAACTATTGGTTCCTGCCCGACGGACTTGACACACATCACTTTTGAATCTAAAAAGACACAGAACCAATTACGGACAAAGTGCATTTATTGATCAATTGTGCAAGAACTATAACAAATTTGACTCGGACTGTGATATTTTTAATTGTAATATTTTGGCGCTGAAAAGGGACAACTCCTGAATGTATATAAGTTTTACTCGTATCATCCCGCGGTGTTGTGTTATTCTTCTTTTTTAATATTTTATATATATTTTTTAATTTATCTTATAATATACAGTGCTTATTTTTTCGTGTTAGGCAAATGACTAGTATATAAGTTAATAAAATGGCAACGCGGCAACAGCTAGTCGTCCTGTCGTTCACTAGAATTAGAAGATATGGTGCTGGGATATTCGGTTCGGCTAATATCAGTCACAAATCTAGCGATAGCGGGGATATCGTAATTGCCACATGTTCGCTGAGAAAGCATGGCTATGCCTAATACAAAATAATAAGTACTATATATTCCATAATATTTTTAACAATAGTTGACCTTATTAATTAATAATGCAGCACCAAGTTTTTGATAGAAGTTGATACTATTTATTATTTTTTTAACAAAACCACTATTTTTATCACCAAATAACTTAAACATTTCTGTCACCATCTCTATAAATATTGCATACAGTTTTTATCCAGTTCTTCAGCTAAATTCATAATGATTGGGGTGCTTTACGTTTTAGGCCGCAGCCGCTGAAAAATCTTAATACGGTTCTGAACTGAACAGATTAATCCCTAAGAAGTAACCTTATACCTTTATCACATATCAAATTAGCAAATACAAAACATTTTAAAGTTTAAATACCTGACACTTTTTCAATTTGAACTACCTAGTAATTATTTTTAATAAAAAAAATGGTAGGGTGTTTCTTTATGATTTTTGATATTTTTTATTATCTACATTTCCTTTTCATAAAACAAATAGTGTTCCTACCTACTCTCCTTTTTAAAGATTAATCTTTTTTTTTAGTCGCCGTCCGTTACCAACTCTTTAATAACAAGACTGAAATTGATCGCAGCTTTGTTTAGTTCGCTGCATATAGAAGACGAGGAGAAAAAAGTGGAACAACCAATATTCGTAGTAATGCAAAAAATGATGCCTCTGTTTAGGAGAATTGGAGAAAAATACTGTAGAAATATCGAAGTGATGGAGGTAAGTTTTTATTTTAAACGTATAAATTTTTATGGCTAATTCCTCGCAATTTATTGGAAATTATTTCAACAACGTAGGGTTTAGATTAAACGAACAAAAAATATTTCATTTGTACTCTCATCGTAAAACTCTTTTAATTCTTATTGATTTAATTTTCTTGTGAATCCACTATTAGTATGTATTTTTATTTTCAGGATTTGAGTGTCGTTTTCAAATATGGCGTAACGACGCTTAAAGATGACTGTAAACCTTTAATAAACGATATGCTTCAACTGATAGTAACGATATATCGGGAATGTCCGCAATCCAATATTCTAATAGTGGCGAAAACGGTAAGTTTCAATTTTCTCTCACAAAACTCTGTTATTATTGGCGTGAATAAATTTTATGTCGTCCACATAATGCACCAACTTAATATTGGGCAAACTCTTAGGAATATCGTTTATACAAGTGTAAATTAAAAATTTAAAAAAACCGACTTCAAAAACGTGCAGATGCTATCACAACATCTTAACCAAATTTATATGGGATCACCCCTGAGGTACCCCCTTTCTAACAATAAAAGAATCATATAAATCGGACAAGGTAGTAAAGCATTATCGCAAAACATACATAAAAAATGAAGAGTGAGGATTTTCTCATGGACCCAATTTTTAGATTTTGACCAAATTTATATGGGACCACCCCTGAAGTAGCCCCTTTCGAACAAAAAAAGAAATATTGAAATCGGACACCGTGTTAAATAATTATCGCTGAACATACATAAAAAAAAAATATCGCGACGAATTGATAACCTCCTCCTTTTTTGAAGTCGGTTAAAAAAATAGGAATGGAATGAGTTACATAATGAAACCCTATAATAGCAAAAAACCACTAAAACCATAAACTATACTGTTACTACCAAAACACTAGAGGTCTAAATTCTAAAACTTCCGAATACCACCTTATAGCCATAACCAAATTCAGAGCTGTTTGGAAATAACTATTACATTTTTAGAAGTGATCATGTATGTGTATTATTCCTACATATTTTGTTATAAAAAGGTGCATGGCTTTACTGACTCCCCACGACATCTATCTCAACTTAATTTTAATATACAGAGGTTTAATTCGAGAAATGAATTGCGTTTTTATTTACCATTTCCAGTTTATATTCGGCTGTCGGTAAGTGAGGATGTATGTTTAATAAAATAACTCCATAACTAGGTCAGTTTCGTTCACTTTTGTAGTGTAAATATTTTTTAACCATGATTGTTTAAAAAATCACCAATAATTGTTAAACGTAATGTTTAGAGGAAAATTTACATTACAAACTAAAAGACCTGCGGGGTAACGGTAGTTTAGTAGGTATAAAAATTACAACTTAAGGGTGGAGCCTAAATACTACAAAATTACTTCCGAGATCAAACAAAATCAGCATTCATTCATAATTTTAACAATTGCATGTAGATACGAGGGATGCATATTCTAAACTTTAACACGCGAAGTTGAAGACAAAGGAACCGAAAAATATTCCACAATAGCACAAAATAATATTACCTATGTATTTTACAATATAAGTATGGTGTAGATTAAAACTTATTTTGGCTGTCGACAAATTTGGTTAAAAAATCTTCTTTTATAAATATACCTTTCATTTGACGAAAACCGAAGGCCTAAACGAAAAAAAAATATTCTTCATAAAAGTTTCGCCTGTGTATTGACAAGGTAATAGTGCTTTCCTTATATTTTTTGCTATGAAATTAACAAAAATATAGCAATAAACAATTACTGATGTCATGGTTTTACAGGAAAGGAAGCAGTCTCTTGACTGTATGCGTCTCTCTCAGGGAGTTTAGCCATACATTCCCTTCTATATCACATAATAATATGTCCTCGATACAAAAAGTCAAAGTAACAAAAACAGGAGGCCAATGTAAACAAACAATAAACGGTCTCATGACATTTTATATTTTTAAATAAACTAGGTTTTTAAAAAATATTTTCTATACCTGTTATTTTTTATATTCAAGCGGATTTATAATATTTAAACTTGGAGTAGGCATAGTTAAATGAAAAGGTACCTTTGGTTTTATAATATGTAGCGATCAGATATAATGTTTCAGCATATTATTATTATTATTTATATTTTAACAAAAATTATTTTTATTGTTTGAATAATCTGTTATAATGAGGTACACCTTCTAGAACAAATTCATAAAAAACCCGTACTGTTAAACATCAGTAAAATTTTTTGTAAATTGTTTTCATTCACAAATATTAATTTCTTAAAAATCTAACAGTGGCGCCACTTGCCAGACGAAAAATCTTGCAATGTAATAAGGGTTTCGTAGTACCCCACTTTTAAAGTTTATTTTTAAGTCTTTTTAAAAGAAAAAAATATGTACGTGTAGATAACGGTTAAATCTGTGCTCCTCTGGAACCACTTTTTCAAAATTCAATTTAGTTTTTTCTAAAAAAAAATTGAGAAAATGGATCAAAAAAGTCGAGGTTTGTGTTTTTTTTTTTTTTTTTTTTAGAAAAAACAAATTGAAATTTTGAAAAAGTGTTTCCAGAGGAGCACAGATTTAACCTTTACCTACACGCACATATTTTGAGTTATTACATTATTCCAGTAAGACAGGAGTGATTTCGGTAAAATAAGCTGTGACACAAAACATTGTTTATGCAGCAAAGTTTTATTAAAAATTTATTTACAAGTTGTTATAAAATTCTGAATAGTAGCGGGGAATCGCATTGGATTTTACTAACTCTATCAAGTCTTTTTTTTTATGGATGGGAATTCCTGGTTTCATAGTGAATGCTTTTTTCATGACAATGTTATTACACGAAGCACTTGAATAACTTCGCGAAGAACTTCGAGTGATGAGACATTCTTGAAACTGTTGGTCTTGGTATGAAGTTTTTACGAACAGCGATGAGGGAGAATTCTTCTCCGCCTTAACAACTTTTATATCTGTAATTTTAATTGGCTGGTTACCGTCTAAAGACCTGAGCTGAAATCTCATTTGATTGTTTAGGTCATGAAGGTCAAGAAAATCATCCCAAAACATTTCCACCACTTTATAAGGATCACCCTTTTTTTTAGCTGCTCGAATGCTAGAAATCAGTGCGTTGGAATTGTACATTGGTCCGCTTCTTAGTTGTTTTTTAATCTCTTTCTCTATTGTGGAGTGGACAGAATCACCCTCATTTTGAGTATGTCCCTGAATTAAAAATGTATGCGTAATTGACGAAATGTTCAAGTTCTATACGGCATACAGATACATGCAAAACATGTACTGATTTTTTTGTTGACCCGGACAGTTGTCCGAATAAAAAATAATTTCCTTTTCTTCCCCATCGTGTGGTGCTACTTGTTCAAGATATTTGTAAACGCATGTACCTAGTTCATTTACACCTCTTTTTCCGAGCCCCTCATGCCAGACAAAACAAGTGTCATTTTTTGTAAACATATTGTAAATGCTAAAATTGAAAACATTCAATTTTGATTTGTAAAAAAATATTGAAGCATTTCCTTTAGGGCATTGAAACACTGCTGCCAAGTCGTATACTGCAAGGACAACATTTGAAACGTTGGCAAACTTTTCTTTATCTGAATTTTTCTCTGCTCGTACTAGATCCTTTTCTACCAAGTGTTTGTCGTGGAGGTCATTTCTCTCGATTTTTTTCTTCTGGAGTGGAATTTTCAAATGTGACACATTCATTGCACTGATCATTTTTTGGAATAAATGGATGAATATTGAACTCCTCTGTGAAAATCGTATAAAACATTCCGTATTTACAGGAAGGAAAGTTGTTATTTTTACATTACTCTTCAAACTCTATGCAGGTCAGCAATGAATTTATTCCCTTTCACATAATGTCGCCGATAATGACTTTTGGGTATTTTTTAATGAAGCTGCGAACTTGTTTTTTTATATTTTCGTCAATTTTAAAGTGCTTTCCATGTCGTCCTCTAAAGTCCTCCATCGAAGCTCTTTGAATTTGGTTCTTTTTTTTTTCGTAACTGTTGTTATAACGCTATCATTGATGTCTAGAGTGTTTCTAAAAAACACTTTACAGACCCTTATTTTTTTTTGTCTCTGATAGTAAAGTAGTACGCATTATTTGTGTATCTGTGGCTCCCTTCTCTTAGGTATCTGTATTTGGGTTTAACCAGTGGCGGCTCGTGGGGTGGTTCACAGTGACAGAATACAGGTACCAGTACAGATGTATGAAAAAACTTTCAGTGTTTTAGAAAGTTTATAATATACCTTTCTAAAACACTGACAGTTTTTTACCTATATCTGTACCGGGATCTATATTCTGCTACTGTGAACCCCCAAAATTTTTATTACCAGTTGCCGAGTTGTCTTCGCTGTCACTTGTGGTAGAAGTTGATAATTTCGGAGAATGCATCTCTGTTGATGGCACCTCTGTTGATGGTACCTCTGTTGATAGCACCTCTGTTGATGGCACCTCTGTTGAAGGCACTTGATGATTTTGTTTTAGGTTTTGATTTATTTCTTCACAAGGCTTTGTTGGCGGACCTGCAACAGTAGATTTGGCAAATGTATCGCGTTTCCTATCAGGAATCAACTACTGTGATGGCTCATAATAGTGAATTAGCTTAATTTTCTACAATAATAATTAATTTATCTTACCTTCTTCTTCAGAATTTACCTTTCTTGCTTCGGCAGTAAGTTGGAGGAGAATTTTCCCTCGTCTCATTGCCTAGAATAGATAAAAAAAATTACTTAACATTTTTGAAAACTTTTGTTTGAATAGGTATCTTTTTCTTTTTTATGATTTTTGAAATTCGAAAACGCTACAAAAATTCCCTTTCTACGTTCCGATTTTTTTCAAAAATTATACAGTTCTATATTTTTAATTTCCGATTTTTGCTGAAAATTTCGTGGAAATCCATTCAACCGTTTTTTCTAAATCGTAAAACAAATTTTTTTCCACACACACAGGCATACATATTTCGGAAAACACGATTTCCGTACTCAAGTACATCCAAAAGGTGAAAATCGATCAAAATTTCGAAGTTGAAATGGGTATGTGTAATGTGTAATTAAGAAAAAGTTCAAATAAACGACTGATTAGCGTCTAAAATTAGGGAATTGTTTTTTACGACTTCACTTACGTTATAAAAAATCAAAAACAAACAGAACAAACTCAAGCTTTTCCCTAATAATTCTAGGCGGCAGACTTATTTTCTGTTTTCAACCTTGCTTTGTAACAACAAAACAATATGTTTAAATCTGGATTTACTCAATTTGGTTGAAGAGCGTAATAAGTCGAAATATTTTAACCAAATTCTAGAGTATTTTGTGGAATAGTATCA